CTCAGCACTCCCTTCCTATGTCTACACAGCCATAAAAATCCTGGGGCAGCGAGTGTCAGGCTCCAGCCCAAGCCCAAATGTCCACATGGCTATTTTACAGCCTCGCAGCCCAAGACGAGTGAGGCGGGCCAGCTGCGGCTGTGCCGTGGGTCTTTTATCACAGCGTAGATAGACCATAAGTAACAGTGGCTCAGAATATCATGCAACAGCTGGGTCAGAGGACAGAGAAGGTTACAAGAATAACGAAACCACAGATCCCCCACTATGACTGTATGGGCATCACAAGTAAGGCTGGGTCAATGGAAAACACACCGTCTTGCAGAAAAATAGATAGGTACGAGCGGCACTAGCCTCTCTTAAGGGGGGTAGGGGATGGGGAAGAGCTCCAGTTAAAATGAGAGCAGATGGACTGCCATGCGAACAGGACAGTTAATATCTGGGGAAGGTAAGCAGAGTGTCTGAAGAGCTCTGTGAAGCTGGAACGCTTGTCCTTTTCGCCAGCAGAAGTTGGTCCGATAAAGCCGTGGTTTTCAAACTTTAGGCTGCGTACCCCTTTCCAAATAACATAATCTACGCCATACTCCCATCAGAGATAGGGTCGGAATACACTGGTGAAAACAGGGGAAAAGACGGTCTGTAAGGGGTAACACGATGTGTTGTCTGTCTGGACAGGATTATTCCCGCGTGCCCCTAGCGTACGGGTACCCAGGTTCGATATTGCCTCACCCACATCGTCCCTCTCATATCGTGGGCCAACATGCTACAACAATCGTGCAAACAATTATCGTCTGGCGTCAGCAGGACTGTACGAGGAAAAATACGGCACAGCCAGGCAGAGAGCATTGCTAGGGGAAGGCTGTGCTGGTCTGATTATAATCCAATTCCTCATCCTCCTTATTTTCTTTTCAACTGACTGGGTTCTTCCTAATATTTGTTAAGGCAGCGCTGGGGGTAGCCCTGCTTCTCTCGCGTGCCAGCAGAGGCGAGTAAAAGAGAGCCCGGGAGATTTGTGCCACACTTGAGCTCCCTGGCAGCTCCCCCGACTAACCAGCCCTTCACCAACGCCTCAGACACCGGGCTGAGTGTGGTGCTGATGCAAACTGATGCTAAAGGGGGAGGGACACCCCATCGTGTACTTACCCACCTGGTCCAAAAGTCCAAAAAGGCTTTTCCTGTCTGGGCGAACCAGCCCCCGACGGCGGCCAGGGGGCGCTGGAGAGAAGCAAAGGGAGAGAGAAACTAAAAAAAAATAAACCAACCCCCCCCCCACCAGTTTGACATCAGCGTGCGTTTGATTTTCACACCAGCCGCTGGTCTCCGCCCCCCCCTCCTCCCCCCCCATCCATTTCATCCCGCCCCATCGTCCGTGTCAGGCATGTGCATTGCACGTCCCAGGGAGACGCGGGGTTTTGGAGACCGGGCTCCTTCCACCTTACAAAAAAGCACCCCAGCACCCCTCCCCGACTCCTCCCCCCCTCCCCACCCAAATACCCCTCGCCGTCCACCCGGAGCGAACCCTCCGGCTGGCTGGGCGCTCCGCTCCGCTCCGCCCTCCCCTGGGACCGGTGTGCCAAGCGGCGGCCCCCCCCGGCAGGGACCGTGGCTGTGGGGGTGCCGGGGCCAGCCCGGGGGCGGGCGGGCGGCAGGGAGCCCCGCAGAGGCGAGACCCCGGCGGGAGCCAGCGGAGATGTCTAGGGAGCGCTCGGCCGGCGGGGCGGGGCAGCGGGGGCCGGTGAGCCGCGGGCAGCCCCGGGCCGGTTCGGAATGAAGGGCGGCTGCCGCCGATCCCCGCCGCGATGTCGGTGCCTTTGCTCAAGATCGGAGTCGTCCTGAGCACCATGGCCATGATCACCAACTGGATGTCGCAGACGCTGCCCTCCCTGGTGGGGCTGAACAGCACCAAGTTAACCGCAGCCTCGGGGGGCACCTTGGACAGGAGCACGGGAGTAAGTGTCGGGGGGGGGGGCTGGTGTGCGGGGCACGTCTGTGCACTTTGTGTGAGTGTCGGGGGCTGGTGTGCGGGGCACGTCTGTGCACTTTGTGTGTGTGTCGGGGGCTGGTGTGCGGGGCACGTCTGTGCACTTCGTGTGAGTGTCGGGGGGCTGGTGTGCGGGGCACGTCTGTGCACTTCGTGTGAGTGTCGGGGGCTGGTGTGCGGGGCACGTCTGTGCACTTTGTGTGTGTGTCGGGGGCTGGTGTGCGGGGCACGTCTGTGCACTTCGTGTGAGTGTCGGGGGGCTGGTGTGCGGGGCACGTCTGTGCACTTGAGTGTGGGGGTGGTGTGTCGGGGGCACTTGTGTGTGGCGGGGGCACGTCTGTGCACTTTGTGTGAGTGTCGGGAGGCTGGTGTGCGGGGCACATCTGTGCACTTTGTGTGAGTGTCGGGAGGCTGGTGTGCGGGGCACGTCTGTGCACTTTGTGTGAGTGTCGGGAGGCTGGTGTGCGGGGCACGTCTGTGCACTTTGTGTGAGTGTCGGGGGACTGGTGCGCGGGGCACGTCTGTGCACTCTGTGTGAGTGTCGGGGGGCTGGTGCACGGGGCACGTCTGTGCACTTCGTGTGTGTCGGGGGGCTGGTGCGCGGGGCACGTCTGTGCACTTTGTGTGTGTGTGAGGGTGGGGGGGGGAAAGGCCTGGAATCACAGATTCTTAATTTGCAGAAGGGGTGCAAAGTTTGCCCTGATTCAGGGCTAGGTTCTGCTGGCCCTTGTCTCCTGCTTCAGGCGTGTGTTCTGTTAGCCAACAGAAGGGTAGTGTGGCTGATCAGTTTCAGGGTTGGTTTGGTTGGCTTGGCTTGGCTTTGTTTTGTAAAGTCGAAAAGTCTGGCCTGATCATGGGAGTCCAGGGAAGCTAAGTGAGTGGCGGAGGCCAGTCATTGGGGTGGGGTGGGGTGGGGAGGGAAGGGAGTAGCACAGCTCCCAGCTTTGGGTGGTGGTGTCCTGCACCTGTGCTGGAAAACTGACCGGCAGAGGGTGTGTGTGTGTTTAAATACTGTTCTCAGAGGTTTCCCAAGGGCAGTTCTCTCATCTTGTAGAGCCTCAGGAATCGGCCTGGTGGAAAATCCCAGGGGTTTCTTTTGGGGGTGAGGGGTGGCTCTGTGTGTGTGTGTGTGTGTGTGTGTTGGCCGGGGAGATGAAGATGTTTTGCAGTTGTGCTGGCAAAGGATTTGCTCTTAGAAAATCTAATCATGCCATGCTCACTTGTCCCATTCCCTTCCTCCACCCCCTCCTTCTCTCTCTCATGTGACTGGGGGTTAATCCAGGAATCTTTTGGTTTCTCATTAAATAGGTTGTCAGGATGGAGCTATTAGGAGTTGAGCTACAGCCTTCATTTGCATAGCAGTAGGGCGAGGTTGCCATAGTTAGGAGACGGGTGTGGTAAAGGCACATTCCCAGCATGACAGATTGCTTGGAAGGAATGGCAGAGCTGGTGGGTCCTGCCACTCCTCTCCTTGCAAAGCTGCCTTTGTGCTTTGGCTAAGGTACCCCTCTTAGACCGCTTGTCAAAAGTTCCCTTGTCATGACATTTCGCCATTTCCCTATAGCTTGCTGTCAGGTGTAAGACCCACAAGAATGGATGCACTCAGATGCCTGGAATCAATAGTCATTATTGGGATGGAAAATGCATCAGGGAAGTTGCAAATGCATTTCAGTCATGCCTTATGGATCCCCTTGCCTTCTCTGAAAGGATGCTGTAGATTGGATTCTTATCTATTGGAAATGGCTGAGTATAACAATCCTTCTTTCTTCCCTTAGCAGGAAAGAATTGACACCTCTCATCTCCAGGCTGCATGCTTCTGTCTTAAAAAAAATAGCATTTTGCAGCCTCACTGTTTCAAGATGAAGAGTATTTGATACAGTGTCTCTGTTAATTGTGAGTGGATTTGGCAGTTTGTTCCCTGTTACAAGAATGTGATGTGACCCAAGATCATTTTAGCTGGAGTCTGTCCATCTACCTATCTACCTATCTATCTAATCAGTCTGGCTGTTTGCAAGGTTATTTATTACATATTTAAGCACTAAACCAGCATCTTTCCTTCTAGCTCTTCTAAATGATGAGGTCTCTTCTAAATGATCAGAGACTATGATTGAATAATGTATTTTGCAAAATGTTGTGTGATTAAAGGGAAATGAAGGTCAGAGATTCTGCAGGGGCTGGGGAATGTGTTTAACTTCATTGCTGGGCTCCCTTTCCACGTATGCATTCTGAAAGCCCAGATCATAGTGCTGATTACATCTTCAAGGTTGTATTCCTCATTAGCTGGCACGCTGTCTCATGGTTATTCTGGGCTCTCTCTCCTCCTTGGGTTAACAGAACAGTTTAAGAAATATTGCAGTGCTCCTGAAAATCTCCTGGGACACTTTGAATAGCAGAGGGGGAAAACCAGTAAAAACGCTGGTTGCCTTTTCCTCCTAAGAGCTAATTCCTGTTTCAGGATCTTGGAGAGCTCTGCAGATTCCCACTGATTGCTGCTCAGTTCATAGAGTCAGGAGAACACTGACTAGTATGTCAGGATGCACTTCATTCTCTGTGTGTCAAGGAGAATTGAGTGTGTGTCTTAATAATAGATTGGCATCAAGTTTCACACAGGCTGGGTGTGCATCAGAACTCACTTTAACTAATGATGCCAGCTGATCCTATTGCCCCTGGATTTTCCATGTCACATACCCCCAATTTTCCCCATTGTGTCCATATTATCTGCTTCAACTCTTGCTCTCCTTTTCATGCCATCAAACTCTTGGTTTATCTGTCCCCAATCCATATTTTTGCATTAAAAATGCATCCTATCCTACATATTTACTGGGTCCTCAGAGGAACCTTTCCTTTATTTATTCCATGGTTCCATTATCTTTCTGTGGTCTTGCTCTATTGCTACTTTAAAAAAAAAAAGTTTTTGGTTTCACCAAATACTTCCTGTGCATCCATTTCCTTACACTCTCGCTATCCCTCTAAGTGTCCCCCTGTCTTACTTAACCCACCCCCTTTTCCATGTATCAATTAGGTGTTGCCTACCAACCCAGAGGAAAGCTGGCAGGTCTACAGCTCTGCCCAAGACAGCGAGGGACGGTGTATATGCACAGTGGTGGCTCCTCAACAGACGATGTGCTCACGTGATGCCAGGACAAAGCAGCTGAGGCAGCTCTTAGAAAAGGTAATGGGATGAACCATCCTGTGGGAAGGAGGGAGGATGGTCTGGTAGTTAAGGCAGGTGGGATTCAAGAGATCTGGCTGCAATTTGTGGTTCTGCTATGGACTCCTTGAGCAATTCCTTCTGTGCCTCATTTCCCCATCTGTAAAATGGGGATAATGATAATACCTTCCTACCTCACAGGTGTGAGGATCAATTCATTCATGTTTGTAAGGTGCTTTGATGTTGTGGCTATGAAAGGTGTATAAGTATCCAGATAGAGGGAGGTTTGTGAAAACCTTTGTGAAATGTAATAAGATCAAAGATACATGACATTGCCCTATGTAATTCAGTAGGGGGGGTGAAATTCTGCAGTTGACTCTAATCACATTGGTTTTCATTGAATTAACACTTAAATATTTTCAAAGGGTGAGTCTCAAAAACATGAGAGAGAAGCCCAATTAAAAATGAAGCTCTTTTAGCTGGATTGATATTAAAAAGGCTGGATAACCCAGCATGAGCCAGCGACATCAAATAACACAGTCGTGAGGGCTTGTGGTTTTCTTCTTAACATTGACATTCATATGGTTCGTTTTTAATAGTCTTTCTGTCTGGAGAGATCAGAAGACACATCCCTGATATCAGGAAATTCTCCGGATAATGGATCCCATTCTTGTGAAATGGTGTCATTCTTTTCTAAATCTAAGGAGACTCTTGTGTTGGGGCATGTAATTATCCCTCATGTCTAAATACTGTACTATGCCAGCATCTGAAGTATGTGACACAATAATTTTTATCCTGATACCTGGAGAAAATTGACGTGTTAGAGCATAGTAAAACACATTAAGTGCAGGTTTATGAATGTTTTGAGTGACTAAGTACTATAAACTGAGACATGAGACATTTCTCTTTTGTTTGTAGCATAAGCTTCTGGCTTTTGTTTGCTCACATAATAAAGAGAACGTGCCCAACACAACGAAATCTGAAGTAGGAACAGGAATTGTCATATGGTGCAGCATGAGTATCAAAGACCCATTGGCTTCATATAACTACTCACATGAACAAGACAAGCAGATTTTGACCCAAAGTCCTATTCAAATGGGAACAGTGGGTGTGGGGCGAAAGACCTAAAATGTGATAGTTTCCAGTGCAGAGGGTGCTGAAATATAAATGTTCATTGTTTTTCTTAGACAGCAAGCTGCTCTTGGGATACCAGGGTAGAAAGTAAGGGAAGAATGATGTGCAAAGTCAGATGCTCATGTGTGTGTTAACCTATCTATCTCTACACATACACCATCCTGTAAGAGAACCCAGAAATAAAGGGCTGAGTCTCAGCGGCCGCCATGAAGTTCCAGACCTCTGATCTGGATCTTCACTGAAACAAAATCCTTGTAGTAAAATGTAACTGCAGACACCTTTGGAAAACCTCCACGCTAACATTCATGCCCCTTTCAAGAATCTAACATCTCAACTCCCCTGTTTTTGTGACGAGAACTAGCCTTGCATTTTTCTCACCACAAATAGCAGAAGAAACCTAACATGTCAAAGATGTAATTGTGTTTGGATTTCCCAAGGAGGAACGCAAATCCATAACCTATTCTTCGCCTTTGGGGATAATAAAACGTTCCCGTAACTGGTCCGAGCAAACCTGCATTTTTTGAGTGAGCAATCCTTTTTTTTTTTTTTTTTTAAAGTAGAAGAAATGTCTGCCTTAGCAATGGATGCTAGTGGCTTTGCATAGAGGTTTGGGGAGTTAAACAAAAGATCAGATTCAAAGTTGTAAAAAGCCAATGTGTGCTAAAACACATTGACACCAGTGTATGAAAATTAAGGTAGGGCCTTAATTAAGTTTGGGGGGCCAGTGAGGCCCCCCCATCTCATTCTGCTTCAAAGGGCATTGACATCATTTGGCACCTCATGGTTTTTAACCCCTTGTGAAGGCCAAGTTAGAATAAAACTTGAAAAAAATCTGGGTGTGCCCCATGCGACCACAGTGTAGCTCTGTATCTCCCTCTAGTGGCTAGACCATGGATGGAGGATTATGAGTCCGGCTGCTTTCAAATGAATGAACTGGTCCTTTGCCTCAATTAGTGGAGCCACGTGCATTTAGCTCCAGATGGCCCAGGCAGGGGTATTGCTCATAGACACTACCCCAAAGGATAGCACCCACAGACTGGGATGATCAGGATCTAGGAGATATTACCTAGCTGAGGTAGCTTGCTAGAGTCACCAGGCCAAATTCTGCTCCCAGTTACACAGGTATAAATCCAGAGTAACTCCATCAGTGTCAAAGAAGCTGGCATAACTGGAAGCAGAAATTAAATTCCATTTTATTAATTTTTTGCTTCCCTAAGGTAAAATCAACGTTTTTCCCCCTGGGCAACTGTTAGCTTGTCTATGCCATTAGATTGCTGCAAAATGAGGTTTTGTGAGCACTCGGAATATGTGTGTTTCATAGGTGAAAAAATACTCTTAACTAAGGTTCTTCAGGGGTCGTAAGTGATTGGAAGAAACTGAGGGAAATTTAAGACAGAGAATGTATTTCAGCCTCAGGTCCAGTAAAGCACTTACGCACATGCTTGACCTTAAGTACATGAGCAATCTCATTTAAGTTTAATCATGTGGTTAAGTGCTTTGCTGGATCAAGGCCTTAAAAAGGTAATAAAAATAAAAGATGTAGATCTTTAAATGATGAATTTTACGTTATTGTCAAAGATCAGGAATAATAGTAATTGATATTTAAAAATGTTCACCATAGGTTGCTACTTAATTTTAAAAAAAAACTTATTAGCAATGAATGGAATGGATTTGAACTTTACACCAAGCACGTCGCTGAAAATAACTTCATAGAATCATAGAATATCAGGGTTGGAAGGGACCTTGGGAGGTCATCTAGTCCAATCCCAGGACCAATCACCAATTTTTGCCCCAGATCCCTAAATAGCCCCCTCAAGGATTGAACTGACAACCCTGGGTTTAGCAGGCCAATGCTCAAACCACTGAGCTTCCCCCCTGTTTAACTGTATGTCCTCACTTAAGCACCCTTCCTTATTTGCCATAAGTTAATTCGTGCACAGTTGGGCTTTTTATTGGGAGTGAGCACTGGCAGAATTAGTTGACCCAGTTTTGGGCAACTTCAAACATAATCCCCATTCCCATTGGCAGATGTACAAAGCGATCCCACTAGGTGGATGCAGGTTTTCTCAGGGAAGTACTGGCTGGCTCAACAGGAAAAAAATGTTGTACAAGTCCAGGCTGTAACAGACACTCCACCCTGGGTAGGCAAAGCTCCTCAAATTCGTCCCCCTCCATTGCAGGCAAATTACTGCCTTACTGTTCACCAGCGCAGAAAAATACACACCTCCTTTTGTCCTCCTCCCCATTCAGTGCAGTCTACCTAAAGGCCTTGGCAGTGGCCTACATGAGGCTGGGAAGGTGTTGCTGGGTGTGGATGAGTGGTACTGCTGGAATTAGGTACTGAACATTCTTTCTTCTGCTCATAGCCCCCAGACCAGAGCAGAAAGAAATTACTAGCCATGAAACCATTTTCACTGGTTGGACAATGAGCTTCTCCACCTTAGCATGTCATAAACCATCAGACCTTGATGCATGGGTCCCCCTTAATTATTTATTTGAATTGTTACTTTTCATATTGTCCTTGTCATCAAATGTTAATGATGGTCAACCTCGATCATTTCACAAAACTTAGAGAAAAGCTGGCATTTGTCCCTTGGCTGGCTCCAGCAAAGTCCAAAAGGCCTGTGCTTCTGGTAACACACACATTTCCCACAGCCATCTTCAAGTAGTTACACTGGCTCAGCGAAGCTCCCTGGAGGAAATATTGAATGCCAGTCATCTCTTCCCCATCCCCCAAGTCCAATATTATTACACTTAGCTTCACTGAGCATTGAATGTGGAAACAGGAGCTAACTGTGATGGCATGGAATTCAGAGAGCTTATGGAATTTGCTTGCAGAGGAAGTTATGGGCAAGGAACGAAAAGCAATATTTCCTTAAGATTTGGGTTCTGATAAGAATTCCGTTAATTTCACTGGAAGGTGAACCAGGCTGTCACTGACCTAACTAAGTCCCTGGTTCAACAAAGCATTTATGCACAGCTTAGCTTTAAGAACTGGAGTATTCCAAACTGAAATCAATAGGGTTCTAATAATAGTTATTATTCTTGCATTGCATAGCATTGTGTTTATTTGTATTGTGGTAACATCTCAGGAGTCCCAGGACTTCATTTTGTTAGGCACTGCACAAATACAGAACAAAAAGATTGTCTCTGCCCCAAAGAGCCAACCGTCTATTTGCAGGATTAATTGCTTTCCTGAATTGGGGTCATAGTTAACATCCCGTAATGGCACAAATATTGGGAGGGGGGAAATGGAGTTTAGCGTATCAATTTAAGGCCATTCTTCAAAATCAGGTCATTTTGATTATCACCTTGCTTCCTTCCTCATCCCTATTTCAGTCACAGCAGCCAGTGTTCTCACAACACTTCTCAAGATGGAGATAAATGTTTTAAAACATTTGAAAACTGATGGTCTCTGCTGGTATCTAGCACTGATTCCAACCTTAAAAGTTATTGAGATGGTGACCACTAAAATCAGAGGTCTCAAGTTGGTCAGCCAAAAATGACAGCCACCATAATCAGAGGCTACATTTGGAAATATTAGCCTTTAATCATGAATGCGTGTATTATTTGCCAGTGTATATGGCATTGCCTACCTCTAAATGTATTCTTTGTGACTGATGACATACAACTAGTAATAAAGAAAAGACCATGTTGTTTGAATAGTGAGATTTTGCTAGCTGGGTCTAAAGCTTGCACTTAGGCAATCAGTGAATGTCTCCTTATGTACATGAAGCAGTGATAATTCATACCTGAACAGAAGTATTATTCTTAGTCAAATATGCTTCTGTTTAACTAATAGTCTTTCCACCTGCAAAGGCAGGCATTGTACGCTGGCTCAGCCAATCAAAGAGACCATTAAGACTCTCATGCATTTTATACTTGACTACAATCCTTATTTGCATTCATGATTGTTGGATTATTTTCTGGAGCATGGCAGAATAAATGTTTATGAAACCAATTTGCTCTGTTTTGGAGCACATGATGCTGCTGATTAACTAGTAAATAATGCATCTGCTGATTCCTCTGTAGCTTTGTTGACTGAGTGGGAAAAGGTCAGTGCTTTGTATTATGAGGCAAATGATGCTGCCTAGCTCCTATGAAAGCTTCTTCCTTTGACTGTGTTGCCTCTCTATTTTTTATTTCTCTGGACAGGTGCAGAACATGTCTCAGTCAATAGAGGTACTGGACAGGCGGACTCAAAGAGACTTACAATATGTAGAGAAGATGGAGAACCAGATGAAGGGATTGGAATCGAAATTCAAGCAGGTGGAAGAGAGTCACAAACAACACCTGGCAAGACAGTTTAAGGTATGTACATCCTCCAGCCTGCTAATGAGGCTGCAGTGTCTCTTCCTCTGCCCCAATATACTGTGGGCCACATGATCAGAGAAGACAAAAACAATTCTCCAAACTTCTGTGTAGATGAACCTACCGTGTGGGTTCTGTTCCCACTGCATTCTGGGCCTTACTCAGCAAAAATTGACATCCAAAAAAGTTTTGCCTGAATAGAATCGTATCTTGAATGCATTGAATTTCCAGGGAAGGAATATTCAAGCATGCATTGAGAATAGGTCCCCTAATGTACACCTTACTTTGTAAATGACCAAATGACCAGAGTGATATGGCAACAATGAGGAGGGTAAAAAGACTGGTAAAGTGTATACGTTGCTTATTTTCCAATACTTAGCCCAAAGTCCTCATGTTAAGTCACCTCAGTAAACAGGTAGGCAGTTCCTATATTTGAGGATCAGTGTCCTCACTGAGTGAAACAGATCATTCATGGACCAAGGAGTGGGCAAGGATCTGGGGTGAAATCCTGGTGCCACTGAAGTCAATAGGAATGTTCCTACTGATTTCAGTGGGGTCAGGATTCCACTACTGTATTTCACTGGGTTTGGGGAAAGATCCCATCCAGACTGACAGTGCGCACCCATTTATTCTCTTCTGAAGCAGTCCATGAATTGGAGCATTGCTACCATTTAAGTAGCAAATGGAATACAATGCTACAGTGGCACCAGAGAATTTCCCCTTCACATTCTTTGAGAAATATTTTGATTAAATTTTCTTGAAACATTTTCCCACATTTTTTAACAACTAGAGAGCTGGTTGAACTTTTTAATTTCAAGATTTAAGTGATGTTTTCAAATTTTAAATACCAAAATTTTGAATTAAAAAAAAGAGAAAGATGTCAATTTCACCCACATTTTTCAACCAGCTCTGATCCTCAAGTTCAGTTCTTCAGCTTAGATCTAAGTTTAGAACCTGCTAGACTGAGAAAACCTTCAGCTCGAACAATGTGATCTTATTCTCCCCCCAACACACACACACACACACCCACACACCATGGTGATACATTCACTAGAGAGTGCAAATAATAACTTATAAAATATAGGAGGGGAACTCATCACTTGAATAGAGGAGCATGGAAAACAAATATTGTTTCACTACATGGGCTAGTTTCCAATCTCATTCATGCCAGTATAAATCCAGAGTAATTCCACAAGACACTCAGATACCATGGTCCTAGGCATTGAGTAAGAATCGGAAATGGAACTGTCACTGGTGCTATTCTGGATTTACATTGGTTTAACTGAGATCAGAATCTGGCCTATTATTAGGCTTGGCAGAATACGATTTTTATTTATTTTTAATAATTTTGACAGATAATATACTTGTTTATTTTTAATCTCCCCCCCCCCAATTTTTATCAATTTAAATTTTCACGGTTGCTCAAAATTTTAAGCATTTTTTCTGGTTTTTATCAATTTAAATTTTCACAGTTGAGGGAAAGTCTGAGGGGTCAGACAATGGGGGGCACAAAGATAAACATTATTTAATGACAGTAGACACTGAGAATCAGAAAGTTAAAGCTCTATAACCGTTAAAAATGCCAACATCATTTATTGAAACATACAAAATGAATACCTTTAGCCCAAACTGTAGTAAGTTCTCAAGTTGCATTTTTCTTACTTTCCCTATCTGTAAATTTAAATTATTACTGGTGGAAATATTTTTCCTTGGTTTCCGTGTGCATGGTGAAATTGACGTTTATCAACATTTATCGATAAAAATCTAATCCTTCCAAGCCTACCTATTATGAATACTGTCCAATGCTTCATTAAATGGTAAGTGCATGCATATTTACGTGTGCATTATTGTCTAAGGGATCTCAGCATCTTCAACAAAATGTTGTGCACAATGCCCTTAAAGACAGCCTTTCTTTTCATTAAAAAAAAAAAAGTTTGGAGAAATAATGGTTGTGTTTCTGGAGAACAAAATTAAAAAGAATATTTTTAGCATGATTAAATAGCATTAAAGAATTTTCCGTATAAATTGCTGCCCAGGCATGATTTTAAATAACAGTCACAGCATTTTGTTTCTACCAACTCCAGCATTAAAATGTGAGTGGTTTGGGGTTTTTCTTATCATAAGAGTATTTGTTTATGAATGGATGTCTGTGTAAGGCAGGTTAGTGAGCTAGCTTCTCAACAGTATTTCATTTTCTTGCTTACAGGGCTAACTTAAAAGAAAGTTTTTTCAATGCTGCAGTGACTGAAGAAGCAGTTCACTCCCATGTAACCATGAAAAGAGGGTCACAGAGCATTTTGCACCATGCATTTATTTATTTATTTTTATTTTCCAAATTAGTACCATATCTCACTAAGGAACCTTGAACCACAACTGAGATCTTCCTTTGCATGCAATTGTAGTTGCATTTCATGAATAGTTTGAAACCCTTGTCAATGCATATATATATAATTTTTTTTAAAGAAAACAAAACAAAACAGAACTCTTTGTGTATGTGATCTGAAGCATGTAACCGTAAGATGTTGCATTCTAAAACTGACAAATAAAGGCCTTTCCCAAATATTTTGGTGTTCTGCAGACTGTTTAATATACTCTTTCTAATACATCATTTGGACCAAAAAAATAATAATGATAAGAATGATTGTGGGGATAAGAACATTGCACTCACGTAGGAAGCAGCCAGATCAAGGCAGAGTGTTGCAGATTTTTGCACGCATAGCACTGAACCAAGCTTATTTTAACCTTGCAGGCAATAAAAGCGAAAATGGAGGAACTTAGGCCTTTGATACCAGTGTTGGAAGAGTACAAAGCCGATGCAAAATTGGTATTGCAGTTTAAAGAGGAGGTCCAGAATCTGACGTCAGTTCTAAACGAACTCCAGGAGGAGATTGGCGCCTATGACTACGAAGAGCTTCAGAACAGAGTGTCAAATCTTGAAGAAAGGCTCCGTGCATGCATGCAAAAATTAGGTAGGCTCAGAACAATATGGTGGCACTGGCAAAACACCAGCAATGTAAAGTACATATAACATCTGGAGATAGCGGTGCTGACCTGGACATCTCCTTGTGCCTTCCCTGCACTGGCTATAAGAAATGAGCTCACAAAGCAGGGTCCGAGCCTGTAAACACATATGCACATGAGTAACTTTTACTACCATGAGTAGCTACTCACCGGAGTAAAGTTACTCATGGCGTAAGTGCATGCAGGAGCATATCCTTAGTTGGACATGAGACTTTGCAAAGTAAGCATAAATGGACAGTGAAATATGGTAAACAGGCTATTTTAAATACTGCTTATGCGATGCAAACACTGGCTCTCCATTTAAATTATGTATCAATGTCCAATCTTTCTGCTAGCTAAAATTGGGACATACCATTTTAAATAATATGTATGTGGGGCATGACTTTTCACCAGAAAAGAGCATGCCCTCACCAGTATTTGCTCATGTTTGTGTGTGGGCTGCAGCTGCTATAAAGAATATAACCCCTCCTCCCGCAACCCATCACTTCTTTTCAGTGAAGGAGTAGAACATTTGTTGACCTAGCTCCCTTCTGATTTAATTGCCAGTTACATTATTGACTTGCTTGTTAAGCAATTTAAGGCACCTGAACACATTAACCGATCCACCTGTCTATTTCGGTAGCACATTTGAAATTATACTCTCAGGTGACTTCAGTAAAGATCAGCTCCCTTCTCGTCGCTGTATATTTTTGGCAAGGTACCATTTTATTTTTCTCCTGTCTATGCTATTGGGATTGCTTCTGTTTGTTTTTAGATCTTTCCACTTTTGTTAGGAAGCTTCCTCCCTGTAGAAATAGATTGTTGTTATTATTTTAGGTTGCTATCTGTTACCTTGTAACCCACTTGTCAGCTAAAAGCCCACCGAGGAAATTGAATTCATTTAGAATATTATATATGCACAGACAAATTTCTGTGGGAGCTATGGGTAAAATTTGCAAAAGTGTTTAAGTGACTCAAATCATTAACACACAGTCTCTAGAGTATAAGTCTAATTAAAAGTCAAAGGGACTTAGGCTCCCCCTTCCAACCCTGATATTCTATGATTCCTCCATGCCTAGCTCATTTTGAAAATGAAGCTTGGGCTCGTAAGTTTCCCTCGCACTTTTGAAAATGCCACCATCTCTGTTGGGGAAGGGAAAAGCCCATGTCCAAAGGAAACTTAATGAGATTGGCCAGGTCCTCAGCAATCGGCTTAGTCTAAAGGAATGGAGCTAGGCTGATTTACACCAGCTGAGGATCAGGCCTCTTGATTTAAAAATAAAAGCACTTGGGAAAGCTTCTTGTTCCCCCTCCACCTGCTGAGGAGATACATGCAAGGCATGCCACTGCTGCTCCTTGTTATTTACCATGTACAATATTGCAGTGGTTTTTGGATTGTAAAGAAAAATTCTCCACCTCTGTGCTATACCGGTGAAATTCACAGCACAAAGGTCTATGCCCCATTTAAGACCTCAAAGTATGGCTTCAGTGGCAAATAACTGGTGCATAGACCTCGTACTGGGCCCTCTGAGTTTCACTCTAAATGTTCGAAAGAAAGATGAAACCTGGTTATTAATTATTATTATGGTAGCACCTACAGGCTTCAGATGGGATTGGGCCCAGTCCCTGCCCTCAAGAATTTACAATCTGGACAGGCAAGAGACGGGTAGAGCGTGAGGAAGGAAGTATCATTATCCACATTTTATAGATGGGGAACTGAGAGACAGAAAGATTAAGTGATTTGTCCAAGATCACATAGTAAGTCTGTGGCAGAGCCTGGAATTAAACCCACATCTCCAGAGGCCCAGTCGAGTGCCTGAGTCACAAGACACTTCTGTTGTGAGGAAGCAGCTGTCTTTACTTCTTCTCTTTTGAAGGAAGAGATGGGGTTTCACATGAGGTAACAAATGGAGAGCAGTGATCTATTTTCTGTCCCACAGTAGAGAGAGTCTCTTCAAATCTACCACTTTTGGTTGTCTCTTATGTTCCCCTCCTGTCTCTTGAGAAATAAGAGACTCTTTCTGTTTTCCACTGCCAGCCCTCTGCTGACCTTTAGTCACTTTAACTGTAGGAACCGAAGAGAGGACATAGTAGGAAAAAATAACATTCTAGAGCAGAAAGAAATCACAGCTGTACCTGAAAGGGGAGCAGTATTATGCTGTCAATATTTTAACCAAGAGCTTCTGTAAAGATGCTCTCAGAACACGTAATAAATACCCCATGGACCAAAGGTGTGTGTGATTTCAAGGAGAAGAATGGAGGGACTGGGGAATCTAATTTGAGCTAAGGAAATAATTTGCAGTGAATAATTATTTAAACAACACAGCCCTCTTTGTCTGTTGGCAAAAATTCTTTAGAACTAGTTGTTACCCTAATGTGTGTGTTTGTTCAAGTTTCATTAGCTAAATAACTTACCTAATTTTTGTTTCTTTTGTAGCTTGACCACAAATATTCAACTGAGGAATTCAGTTGCTTAGTTGGGATTGGTCAGAGAAGTCGCATCATATTGTTCCTCTTCTCTGACAGCATGACCATGTGTAATCCCATATGCAAGCACTTCTTAGCAGGAATGCTTGCGTGCATGGATGTAAAATTCAGTTTTCATGAAAACTCACCTGTGCAGCTTTGAAATTAATTGTTTTATTAGGACCAACATTTGTATACCTTGATGCTCAATGTTAGTCTCCTAAATCCCTGTTTGGGAACCTAAATGCAAATAGACTGAGCATCACAAATACTGAGCATATAGACAGGTTTCAGAGTAACAGCCGTGTTAGTCTGTATTCGCAAAAAGAAAAGGAGGACTTGTGGCACCTTAGAGACTAACCAATTTATTTGAGCATGAGCTTTCGTGAGCTACAGCTCACTTGTATGCATCCGATGAAGTGAGCTGTAGCTCACGAAAGCTCATGCTCAAATAAATTGGTTAGTCTCTAAGGTGCCACAAGTACTCCTTTTCTTCTTACTGAGCATGTACAAATCCCATTGGAGTCGATGGTACTTATAGGAGTTCAGCATCTTTGATTGTCAGGCTGCTTTTATTTAGGTGCCTGATAGCGTTTTAGAAAACTAATTTTAAATACTCAAGGCTGGCTTCCTCCACTGGTGTGAATCAGCACAGCGTCACTGACTTCTGTGGAGCGATGCTGTTATACACCAGCTGAGGATTTGGGCCCCAAGTTTGCAAATGTTAGCCTGCCGTTTTAGCCAGTTGCTTGATTCTATGAAAGAGGACATGGGGAGGAGGGGAAAGGGGGCATTGAACATGGCTGAGGTGAGCCAGTTGAAAAATACAAGTGCATATTTGCAGGCTGCTGTATTCACAGCTCTCCTCCAGGAGGACGTCCGCGGCACTTGGCAGACAAATGTGAAGTGCATTTGTGGGAAGCATTTGCACCTTTTGCCTGAGAACCGCCCTGGGCGCACGGAGACGTGTTTCTACTGCTCCTTTGAAGGAGGAGGTGGGAGAGAGCCATTGCTGACAATGCCTGCTCCAGGGAGAAGTTGTCCCATGCAGGGATATGTTGCAACAGGACCCAGAGAGAAGGGGCCAGCTTATTTCAGTGGAGCTATGGTGACTGACACCAGCTGAGGATGTGGCCCAAGTTGACTCCATCAGATGCAGGGAGCCCATGTTGACCTTCCCTTGAGTTTGGTGGCAGAACTTTAACAAGTGGCTCCAGATCTATCCCAGTATATCACTGACCTTGGGTTCCCTGAGGGGGGCAAACTGGGTCTGTTGAAAATAAGCCTCTTCGCATGCTGCTCATTCTGCTTCCGATCTCACCTTTACCACCGGTTTAGGACCAGACTGTGAGACACTCACTCAAATTGAGTAGCACCCGACTCTGTATGTAACCCCACCCTACTGATACCATTGGAACTATTTACCGAGTAAGGTACTACTCAGCATGAGTAAGAGTATGGCAGTCTGGCCCTCAGTGGAGTTTATTAGTACTCCGCTCCTGGGGTAACAAAGAATTCCTTTGTGCCCAGCCCCAATCTCTGTCAGTGTTGGGGTCCCATTCTCCGCTAGGTTACATCAGTTTTACTCCACTGTGACTCCATTGATTTCAATTGTGATAGACTGCTGAAAAACTGGAGCAGCTCAGCAGTGGGATGGGCCCTTTGATTTCAAGCCCTGAAGATGCAGGACTTCTAGTACATTTCAGAGCTGGGTTCAATCAAACCCATTGTGTTCCCCCAGAACACTGCTGAGGAGGCATGCGTTTTGAAAGCTAAAAGAATGGCTGTCAAAGATGCTGGCAGCTGTAGTTCACATTCATTTCAGCACCCCTGAAAATCAGGCAATTGCAACGCCTGCAGGTATGTTGCTGCTGGGGAACTGGTGGTGTAAAATGAGCACGAAGGTGGGTGTTAAGAATGGCAGGTCCTTCCCACAATCTACACCAATTATCCCCCCACTGGCTCAGCTCCACCTTGGGTAATTGCATTCTCCCTACATGTGCTCAGATCCTCTGCTGCTGAAAATCGGTGTAGTCCCATAGCTAAGGCTCTGGCCCGGTGCTCTTCGCTGTTGTTGAGTGGTGGTGTGTGTTGTTTAACATGTTCTATCTCCGAGGTGGTTACATTTCAGCGATGGATGAAGCGATTCTTCTGCATTGGTTATAAATGTTTTGGGGATCTGCAACAGGATAAAACATTCGAGAAAGGGTTAAGGGCTCCCTGCCAGTCACATGACTCAGCAGGGGATTTAAGGGAGAGTGTGGGCTCTTTTAGGGGGAGATGAGCGAGGCAAGGGGAAAAGATTGTCTCTTGGTCTGGGGAATTGATTTATTTTGATGTTGTCTCCTGAGTTTTGTGCTTGAATGATAAATGGGCTCAGACACAAGCACCTGAAACTGACTTAGGCGTGGTCCTGATTCCTTCCTGCGCTGATGAGAGAGCCCAGTAATTTACAGAAAACTTTGAGATAAAAAATCCCACGTAGACCAGCACAGCTGGGCAA